AAATACAAACAAATAAAAAACAGTAAGTTCGGCCGGGCCGAACATTAAATACCTTCCACATTTTGTAACGAATTCAGAAATTTTCAAAAAATAAAATCCATTAAAAATTCTGTTAAAATCTTAAAAATACCGAATACCTGAAAGTCCTGATATATGGGGGATATACGATATTGTGGACCTATATAGACAAATCTATTTCAAAGTACCTCCAATGAACCCCTTCTGCAGAATTTCAGACAATTCCGTTGAAAATGTGGCTAAAATCATCAAAATATCTAATATCGGGAGGTACCGTTATATGGGAGCTATACGACAACGTGGACCTATTCAGGGGGTAAAGTACTCACAAGGAACTCCTTCTGTAGAATTTTAAACAATTCCGTTGGAAAATGTGGCTAAAATCATCAAAATACCGAATATGGGGGTACCGTTATATGGGGGCTGTACGATATCGTGGACATATGCAGACAATTCTTTTTAAGGGAATAAAGTACACAAAGAAAATGTTGTGTAGAATTTCAGACAATTCCATGGCTAAAATCGTCAAAATACCGAATCTGGGGGGGGGGGGTGCCGTTATATGGGTGCTATACTATATCATGGACCTATATAGATAATACTCTTCCATCTGGTAAAGTACTCACAAAGAACTCCTTGTGTAGAATTTCAGACAATTCTATTTAAAAATGTGGCTAAAATCATAAAAAATGCCGAATATCGGGTTGTACCGTTATATGTGGGCTATACGATATCATGGACCGAACTTGACCTTCCTGCAGACAAAAAACAGACCTGTGCAAAATTTTAGCGTGATTACAACAGACGGACGGACAGGGCTAAATCGTCTTAGAATTTTACGCTGATCAAGAATATATATTTTGTTACAAACGGAACTTAATGTTCCCTCCATATGGTGGAGGGTATAAAAATCTTAAGTAAATATGTGTTCGATAACCCAATATTTTGTACAAAATATTAAAAAATATTGTTCGATAACCTAAAAGTCCAGTAAATGCGAGCCTTTTAATAGTTGAGTTACTGAGACTTTGCAAAATCATACAGGATAAATTTTCTGAATAAAAATTATTCAGCAACATCAACTGACATATGTTTTGTGGCCGACGTTAACGATTGTAAAAATGTTTACAAATTACAAGGAAGAATTTAATTATTGATTAGGTATACACATACAAACATTAAATAATTAATTTTAAAATATAAACATTGTAATTTATTAATGGTTTTCTCATCAGTTGAAATAGGTAAGGCATAAATTTTGCGAAACAGATATTTTCAGTCTATATTTTACTGAACGTTGTTTGATAAATGTTTTAAAAATTGTCATACGAGAGAAAAAATTCTCTCAGTATAGGTTATTGAGTAATTTTTATCTGGAAAAGTTAGCATACACACCTAATGTGAATGGAATTATTAAATCAGAAGTATGGTTGTGTAAATTGATATATTTTTATATGTTGTCAATATATGGGTATGCATAGAGAGAAACAAAAACGGCTAAAATTGTAACACTTAATCTCGTAGATAATTGATGCTAGTAATTGTTTAATAGAAAATTCTCATTTTATTTAGTTGTTCTCAACATTTCATAGCGTTCACAAGTTATAACGGAAATCTTGACAAAAGCGCAAAATTAATTCAATACTAATACAATGGGAAAACTTGTTTTATATGGCATCGATCCAAGTCCACCTGTTCGTGCTTGTTTGCTTACTTTAAAAGCCTTAAATTTGCCCTTTGAATATAAAGTCGTAAATTTATTTGCCAAGGAACATTTGTCGGAGGAATATTTGAAAAAGAATCCCCAACATACAGTGCCCACACTCGAGGAGGATGGTCATTTCATTTGGGATTCTCATGCCATAATGGCGTATTTGGTTAGTAAATATGGCAAGGACGACTCGCTGTATCCAAAGGATTTACTTAAACGGGCCGTGGTCGATCAACGCATGTACTTCGAAGCTGGTGTCTTATTTCAGGGAGGTTTACGCAACATTACCGCCCCATTGTTCTTTAGAAATCAAACCCAGATCCCTCAACATCAAATCGATAGCATTGTGGAAAGTTATGGTTTTCTGGAATCTTTTCTGAAGGACAATAAATACATGGCCGGAGATCATTTGACAATTGCCGATTTTAGTATTGTAACGTCGGTAACCTCGTTGGTGGCATTTGCGGAAATCGATCAATCTAAATTTCCCAAGCTGAGTGCATGGCTGAAGAGTCTGCAATCATTAGCATTCTATGAAGAAGCCAATGGTGCAGGTGCTAAACAATTGGTGGCCATGGTGAAATCGAAGAATTTAACAATTGTACCTTAAATATAACCACATTTTATTTCTTAAATTATTAAAAATAAAGAGAAAATTTGGTGAAGGTGGTTGAAAGTATTGCTATCTAGTGTGCATTTTTTAGTAATGGGAGATGTGGGAGTTGATTTGAAGGAAGTGGATCAAATATTTACTAAGTTTTAAAAGATAGACATATTGCTTGTTTTGCAAAACTGTTAAAAACCGCTACTGGTAATAACAATTTATTTTCATTTCCAGAAAATGCACTGACAGCTGCTAAACACCATCATTATTAAGACATTGTAATGTTTAATACAAATACAAAGACAAATGAATGACAAGTAGACAATTGGAGGAATAATTATTAGCAACGTCCATTGTCGTTTTCGAATTACTTAACTGATAATAATGAATTGCAAAGGTAGCTAAATTAACAATCACGATAGAGGTATATTTATACTAGGTATATGCATGAATTATCAACCCAACATTGTTGTTATAAAAATTAAATTGTCAATAAAATAATTGAAAAAATAAAGCAAATATTTTTCCTGAAGTCAATATGCATTTCAAGTAATATCGCCAATATAGATTTTGGTAGTTTAACCGACTGGTGAAATTTGAGTTTTCGTTTTTCGATTTAACCAGCTACACCGACAAAAATTGGTCAGGAAAATCGTTATTTGGGATACAGTGTGAGATAAAAAAAACTGCAAAAAAGTCAAACGCTGTAATTTTTACAAATTTTTTTAAATTTTATTGAATAAAAGCAAAAATGTCGCAAAATAGCATCAAATTTTAGAATAAGTATAGATTTGTTCGAATTGGTCACCTTTGGCAAGAATCATGGCCCTGCGGTATTTTGGCCCATTCCCGCGAATCGCTTGCTTGATGTGATCGACACTTTGGTATTTTTTAGTGTCAACCTTGCTTTCCAAAATACTCCAGACACAATAGTCCAACGGATTGGTATCCGGAGATTTCGGTGGCCATTGTGCGCTGGAAATGAAGGAAGGAATCTAATTTTGTAACCATTCTTGGGTGGCGTGAGCTGAGTGCGATGGTGCTGACTTCTGTTGGAATGTCCAAGGTCTGCGGCCAAAATGTTTGTGTGCCCAAGGCTTTAATACACACTCCAGAATATTTTCCCAATAATATTCGGCATTCGATCGTCGATTAATTCGAGCGGCTAGATGCACATTTTCAGCTGACCTCTTTTGGCAAGTGAACACGATCATTTTGTTTGTTTACAAACTGCTGAACAACGTATGTTTTCTCATCGGAGAAAACCAAATTCGGCAGTTCACCACTTTCGGCCAAGCGAAGCAACTCTTTAGCACTTTTGAGTCTATTTTCCTTCTGTTACTAATAACTTTTTTTCTGGAAAATTCATTTCATTTCATTTATTTACCTTACAAAGAAATATAAATAAGCCCACAGGGCCCATAACTTATATTATCTATCTACAATACCCTAACATAATACAAATTCAATGATTAATTCAAACTTAACAAATAACATATTAAACCTAATAATTTATCTTAATAATTCACGAGAAGCTCGAACCCTACACCTCGATTCACCATCACCAACTAAACAATAGTCTAGTAGAGCAGTGAAAAAGTGTAGCAGAAACAAGCTAAAAATAAGATATAACTATTTTATTACTCACAAAACAGAGTATAAATAGTAACTCACATTATACCCTACAAATAAAATTAAGAAGATAATATAGTGGCTCCCCAGCCCAAACAAAAAGAAAAGCAAAAAGAAAAACCCATAATAAACCGACGCAACCACTACAAAAACATAGCCTACATATTTAGGCGAAGGTATTCAATTACTTTAACCCTAAACAGATAATTGGTATGGGCAAAAGTACGTAAGGCCAAAGGAAGCTGATTCCACAATCTCACCGCCCTAACCACAAATGATCTCTCACCAATGGAGGACGAAAACCTTGGACACAACAATTGAGGATTTCGAGATGATCTACAAAACACAAAGTTGTCACGAAGAGGCGAGTCAAAATTGCACATAACACTGTAATGAAATTGAAGAATACGAAGATCAACGTAGCTGCTAAATGGCAATACCAGGAGATCATTAACAAAACAAGAAACATGATCACCACGACGCAAGCCATACACATAACGAACAATCGAATTTACCGCCCTACGGATACGTTGCATTTGAGAAGAAGCAGTACCGGAGACTACCTCTAGACAATAATTTACCTGCGATAGCAGCAAGGATACAACCACTCTCTTCCTAACATGACAAGGCAAATAAGCATTAAGACAATACAGCCTCCGCAGCTGAAACCTTATGCGACAAAGCAAGGAATCAATGTGTCTCTTAAAGTCCAACTTCCGATCAATTATAATACCAAGACATTTCATTTCATCAACAAATTAATTCTCACCAAAATGCTTTTGTACGCTTGTATACAATATAATGAGTGGTCACTGAAATATTTTTAACAGCTGTCGGACGAGTGGCTTCGAAATGACAGCAGTCTGAATTTGGTTGCAGTTTTTTCAAAAACCCATAAAGTGTGTAAGGCCATAATATGGGCGCCATACCAATACGGGAACCTCTATAGACAATTTTATACTTCAAGAATTGTCATCTATCAAATATTCTTAAATATTAAATTGGAAACAATTTCGTGGGCAAATGTAACTATGATTATCAAAATACCGAATATTGGTGTGTATTGTTATATGTGCGCTATAGGAAAACGTGGACCTAGATATTCAATGTTCTGACACCGAAGCTAAAACCCATTATGAACTACAAATATCAATTTTTAGACAAATTCGTGGAAAAATGTGGCAAAATTCATCAAACTACGAATATCGGGAGGTATCGTTATATGGCGGCTATACAAAAACGTGGACCTATACCTACAATGTTTGGCCACCGGAGCTAGAACACATTATGACTTACAACTACCAATTTTTAAACAAATCCGTAAAAAATGTGGCGAAAATCATCGAAATACCGAATATCGGGAGGTACCGTTATATGGCGGCTATAACAAAACCGACCGATGTATCCCACGTTCAATACCAACCATCCTAGACACAATACAAATAGTTTTGCCAACTTTTTTGACTGGCTTAAGTCATCGGCTGGCTTCTTCGAAAAATAACAAAGGAGCGTAGGTTCAAAATCGAACTAAGCGAACAAAACGTTTTATGTATTCTTACCTTTAAGGTTCTAATCTCCAAGCCGTCAAACGAACAAAAAACCAATACAGAAATGTCAAAGTCGTTGGTACGGGCTTTGTAATACCCTACACCACATTGCCTATTAAGTAGAGCTTCCCTTAACGTTAATATAGACCAATTATGTGGAGTAGATTTTGCCAAATGCATATTATGGCTTTACAGAAGTTTTTATTTAAAAGACCAACACCAATATCACCAACATCCATCCTTTTTAAGCTGACATTACACTTTTGATGCACAATAAACATATAATCGGATGAAAATATATATGAGAGCTATATCCAAATTTGAACCGGTCTTTACAAAATTTAGCAAAGGTATTTCTATTTCTATCATTGTTGTGGAATACTACATACATAACACACTATCAATTGAAATGGAAGTAAAAAGGTTGCCCATTCACACTCAGAATAAAATTGTAATCGATTCTGCCAAATTGTATGTATGTTTTTATGGTTGTCAATATGTACCTAGTAATTGGGAATATAAACCTTTTCTGTATCTCATCTAGATTTAAATACTTTGTGGTAAATTTCTCCACTTGTACACTATTGCTACCTTGACACACTTCATACTACAATCATAATGAACTCATTGGAAACGAAGCCTCTAATCTTAAAATTTCTGTTTCTGTTTTATATTTAATTAAAGACAGTTGTCCGCACCACCAAAGAAGATTGATTTGAATACTGTTTTCTTGGAAGTATACCAAAGATATCTCACCTTCTTTCTCGGCCTTTGGCTCAGATTTAACACAAGCTGCTGTTGAGTCCAGTTTTAATTCTTGCTTAACTTTAGTTTTAAACTCGCTACCTTGCCACACTTCACACAACAACCATAATTAACGCAATGGAATCGAAACCGTGTTAATCTCAAACTTTCTGTTTAAATTCGCTTTAAAATTAAAAAAGCACAACACTTCTATAGAAAAAAAACAAAATTTTTATATTTAATTAAAAGCAGTTGTTTTATACAAAATATAAATAACATTGTCATTATATTTTAAATTACGGTTTTTTGAAACTTACAAATCGTCAATAAATACAAATGGCAACATCACGCATCAATAGAAAAACGAAGGATTCAAACATATTAAAATATATAAATACATACATATGCATATATATATATATATATATATATATATATATATGGATGTCTATATAAATACTTAAGATACTGAGGACCCAAGAAATATTACAAAGTAAGTAATAAATAGAACACGCATAAAATATATCCCCGATTTATATACAAAGAACAGAAACTAAAACATACAAGTCTTTACAGGTGAACAAAAAAAAAAACTAAACTTACATGCTAAACTATGTATCAGAATTACAAAAGAATCGCAATGATGGAAGCCTAAATCTGGCATTGTTTACTTTTTATTTCGAATCTCTTTCTGTATCATATCAGAGACTTACTGTATTGCCTGCCAAAATGTTTCTTATCCTATTGATTACTTTCTCTATTGTACGCATATATGTATGTAGACTACTTTCTTCTCCGATTCTTTTTGTAACCTTTGCCGTACCAACCGGCTTGTGTACGTGCCAGTTTACGTGGAAATGTATTATTCAAATGCAATTGTCGTTTGGCTGTTTCGGCCGCCGCAATGTGGGCCAGTGATATATTCTCATCGTAATCGTCCTCATCATCCTCGTCGGTGTACGAACAGCAATCACAGAGCACAAAACGACCATTGCGTGCTCTCTTTTTATGCTTACGTTCGTTCAGATGGAATTTCTTATAAAATTGACATTCGAATTCGGCATATTGGTCAAAACAGAAATCACAACGCGCCGCTGAACGATTCATGGCGAAATTGGGCACAACTTGGAAATCCCAAATATTGAGATCATCGGGCGGTGGGAATACTATGCTATGAAGACCAGAATAGGCATAACGGACATCATACCACAATGGTAATTTACGTATCAGACATGGTCTTCTTTGAGGTGTTGATGTGGTGCTGGTGGTGACAGTACCCAGTTTCTTGGGTGATGATAAAGACATATTTCTTAAAATATCCATTTGTGATTCGATATGTTCCTCGACCTCTTCGTCTTCGGGTGGTTTTTCGTCGGCCGACAGTGTTTCTTCATCTAAAGCTGCTGTCATATTTTGCACGTGTACTATTCTAGGATTCGGCACCAATTTTGGAACAGGTGATTTTTGTATGGGTGCCAAGGGTGGGGGCTCTTTTACACTGATCGTTGTTGCCATTTTATTGTTGGCGCTGTTTTTTAGACCATTAAATGGCTGTGATTCTAAACCTGTATCCGTTTTGAATTGCACCTGTATACATTTAGGCAATTTCTTTAAAATGTGCAAGGGAAAATTGCTCTGCGGAGATACTGTGGTGGTGGTTGTGGTTGGCTCTAGGCTTTTGCCTGGAATTTTTTCGATTTGATTCGAGGTATTGTGGATTTTAAGGCCATTATTTAACTTATTCAAACCATTATCGGTATGGACCAAAACCAATTTGGGCTCATCTGTAAAGGTAGGATTTTTTATACCCATCTGATTGCCCAATTTTTCCAAGAACTCCTCCGTGCTATTAGTCAATTCAGTGGCTTGTTTAATTAACATTTGTTCGCTCTTATGAAGTTCAGCTATCTCAGCCAGCACTTCACTGTTGGGTTCCAGTTTCAAAGGCGACTCAATTTTTATTTCTTTTTTTGGGCTGTGAAGGTCTGTTGTATGCGAAGCAGATGAATTAGTTTTTGAGCCTTTCTCGGTTTTAATTTCCACTGAAAACCCCTTATTTCTTAAACCATTAAGTAAATCTGGTTCAATTTTGGGCACTAACGGAGGACTTGTCAATGTAGCTTTAGTGTTTGACATTGTATCAACTCTTAGCTCCATACAAAGACCATTTGTTTTTGTTGTTTCATGTTCGGTTTTCACAAAACCATTCAGCTTTTCCTCAGTCTTTATATTGGATTTTGTGGTGGCAATGATTTGAGTATTATTGTTCATTGCAATTTTTGACACAATATCTTCTAGTTTGATTAGCTTTGACGAAGAGTTTGCTAACTCACTTTGGGATTGTGTTGTACTTTCGGATTTTATGGCGTTTGTCCCCACCACCGAAGAGGAATCATATGAATACTGTTTTGTTTGAAGTATGCCAGAGAAATCGTTTGCAGTTGCCTTCTCCGTCAACGCGTCTGATTTCTTGCCTTCTTTCTCAGCTTTTGGCTCAGATTTCACACAATCTGCTGTTGAGTCTAGTTTTAATTCTTGCTTAACTTTATTTTTCAACTCTAAATTGGTTTTTATCCTTGAACCCATTTGTTTCAGAGGTGTCCGTATACGTGGCCCCTTACCAATACGATACTCGGTCGCAGTGCCCGTTCCGGAACTATCATCACAACTCATTGCTGAATCTTGTGTTTCTTCGGCTGCCGTAGTTGCTGAACTAGATTGTGTCCCAGTCTCGTCTTTTTCATCGTCATCTTTTGTTTGTTTTAACAAGGGTTGAGTGAGTGTGTGCAATTCTTCTGGCATGAGCAGTGTGGCGTGAGCAAAAATCGGATCCTTCTCCTTGCTATAGACTGGCACAGGTATTTTCAAATGTTTCATTAGCAATTCCATAACACGATCACATTTGCCATTTATTTTCACTTGGGCCAAGCTATCTTTCGGCGTCCACTGCAAATTGACAATACAAATTTTCGCCCTTTGCCGCGGAGGTTTATCCATTTGCCATAGCCAAGTGTATTTCTTTAGCACCTTTAAGCTTGATCCTAAACATAGAATAACATCGGCTTTTTCGGCATGCTGACAGGCGCCAGCCCAATTGAGGGGCCATCTTAAATTACCACGCTCTCCAAAATGCACAATTGTATCGCATAAGGGCTCGGAACACTTGTGGCATAGACGATTCGTTTTGTGGCAGTAACGAGCAGTCATTTCGGTGGTATCAAAAAGTCTCCAATACACAGAGTTGGGTTTACAGTGTTTACACACTTCAACGTACATGTTTCCATGAATTTCGGATAGTGAAGATTTCGGCAGACCTGATCTTAAGTGCAAGCCATCGCAGTTTTGTGAAACAACATAACGTAAGATACCTCGCCTGTGCAGTTCATATAGGGCCATATGAGTATATGTGGGATTAGCTGCAGATAAATCATGTTCTCCGATGTCTTCACCCTTTTTCAGAAGAGTCCAAATACCTTTGCTGCCTCGGTAGTCGGGTATTAGGGCGGCAGTACTGATGCCGGCACCTGTATAACAGACCAAATGTTTGGCTTGCAATATAATACTGGCCAACTCTTCAATTTTGCCTTCAATAACTTCGATGTCATCCTCTTTTTCTATGACACGTTCTTTGTAAATTTCTACACGTTCTCTACGCTTCTTGACTTGTTTGACAATTTCAGGATGCTTTTCCAACAGACGACGTTCTTCAGCCGTATGCGTTGTTTCACATTTTCTATAGATGGAATAAATCTGGAAAAAATTAGAAAGATGTGAGATAAGATGGTATTTTCAAAATGATATAATTTACAGAAAATAAATGCATATACAAGTTCGTAATGTTAGATAGAAAATTATGCTTGTTTTATTGTCGTTTACCCTTCTGTCATGTCGGGAAAGCACGCAAAAACAGGAGTAATTTTTTTAACTTTGAGCTACAAACTTCTCTAAGGGAATCTATATTAATACACTTTCCGCTTAACTATTTTCGAAATTTAGTGATGAAATTCATTGATTCTACTTGTCAAACACCATCTACTCTATTTTGATTTTCAATAATTTTGCTGGCTAAGAACTCAATCCATTATTTTACAACTTTCATTTGCAAAATTCGTCTAATCAGGCAAAAGGACAATTGTGATGAACGACAAAGTGTCAAGCTTTGGCTCTGTAACAACATTTACTTATATCATGTGCACAAACACACCCACCCCATTTACTACCACCACCACCACCATCCCAGACAACAACAACAACGTCAAAAAGGAATATTCACACACTACAAAGTACAGTGTACACCACATACACAGTATTAGGGCACAAATCTGGCCTATGCTAATTGAATGAATGAATTCTGTCTCAATCGTCAACCAAAAACAAATAAAAAATAGGAAATAACTGATAACACAAATAATTATTTACTTTACGAATTGTATCCTTGCGCCGTCTCTTCTCATTATCTGTTTTGGCCGGATTTAGTTTAGCTCGTGTTAGATACGTCTGCAGCGCTTCCTTGGCTGACTTCTCTTTTGTGGGAATATCATTGTCCTGTGATGACGATTCCACATCTTCAATATCCATATCGGGGGTATTTTGACGATTGCCTCTCATTTCACACGCACAGTGATTGTCAGTGGCCGCAACGGCTACTGGCTGCGGCGTGTAAAAAAAACTTGTCAATTTCTTCCTTGTATTTATCTATTTCGTAGAGGGCATCAACTTGCCTGACCGCTAATCACTGCGTACCAACGTTTTTTGATAGTTTATTAGCTGTGTGTTGTTGTTGTTGCTATTGGCCCACTGGATTATGAAGCTCCCTTCTGTTGCTGGCAACGATGACGTTTGGTTAAATATAGAGACGACAAACAAGAAGCTGCGCTTTTTTCACACACATTTCATTTATAATTTGTTGGTGTTGTTTTACTTCCGTGTATATTGCCTTGCCTTACTTATATAAATTCATTGTTGTTTTCATTATCTTCGTGTAGCGCGAGTTTATTTTGATGTTTTATTTTGATCATTAGATTTATTAATTATTCTATTTTGAGCGAAATTAACACAAAATAAACAAACAAAAACATTTTTTTCCACCCGAGTCTAGACTATGAAGTCGACGAATTTAAACGCCGTTTGAAGTCGCAGTCGTTTAATTTGTAGCCAGCGGCGTTGCACAGCATTGCCGACATGGAAGAAGTAATCGCATTATTAGGTTTAGATGTATGTTCGTTATTATGAATAACTAAACGCTATGATGGTAAAACTACAGAAAGTAAAATTAAGCTGCATCCATGGTAAAAGAATACTGAATGAACTGTCAAACCAATTTTTTTTGAATGAAAAATTATTCAAATTCGTTAAAATTATTAAAAAATAGCATAACAATCTACGATTGGCGTCGAAAAAAAACATAAAAATGCAGAAAATTTTGAAAAAACGTTTAAAATTTTTTGACATATCAATGCATCCGCTTATATTTTTCTACCATGACTTCATCCTAAACACATTTTTTTCTTTTGATGCCCCTATACCTTGTGGAATAAACCAAACATTACATCCATGTTTGGTTGTTTTTACCCAATAATTTCAAGGTAGTCTCAATTATGCATTTTTATGTAATTTGACTTGTCAAGTTTAGCTGCATAGAAAGCCATCCCATCATTTCCAAAGAAGCCAACCAAAAAAGCCCACCTTAATTTGGGAATATACAAAGGAAATATTTAATTCTGCCATGAGTTCTGTGAAAATATGTAAAATAAACAAAACCAATTGTTGCATATTTAAACATTTATTTGACACAATTAAACTTTAGTACAGAGTTGCAGTTTTTCCTTGTTTCTGTGAAGTTCAATAATCTTTTTGCTTGACTTTGTAGTTATATATTTTAAAATTTAGGTGATTCCAATTATTTCCATTCAAAGTCGATTTTCGTATGTCCGTCTGTCTGTTGTCTTTCAAACGAATTGATAAATAAGACTAAAATTTTGCACAGGTGTGAACTTTGCCAGCAGACAAGTTAAGTTCGTAATTGGGCATGTCGGTCCACCTTTTTATAGCCTTCTCGCAACGGGAACTTCAACCTATGACAGAAAATTGTCTATACAGGCCCGTATATTCGTATTACCCACATACAACGATACCTCTCTATATTCGGTATTTTTTTGATATTAGCGACATTATTCACCGAAATTGTTTCAAATTCGGTACTACAACCGGTTATAAAGTCTATGACAAAAAATTACTTTTGCAGGTCCATATCTTCGTATAGCCTTGCATATAACGGTGTTCATTAACGCGGCATTTTTTTGAAATTTTTCAAGTTTTTTATAAAAGGGTGGGGGTATATGTATATTATAAATAAAGTTCCCTCTCGGGACGCCCCTCTTTCCCACCCATGAATATATGTATGGTATATACCATGGTAGAAGAATGCAGGTAGTCGCATCGACACAGCTGCTGGGACAATGAACTGTCAAACCGATTATGGAAATGAACATTTTGAATGAAAAATTATTAAAATTTGTAAAAATTGTTGAAAAAAAAATCATATTATAACAGCCTCTGATTTGCGTCGTATAAAAAAAAATTAAAAAATCCATTTATTTTTCATAAAACATTTTAGAAATTTTGACATATCAATGTTCCCAAGCGTTGATACATCTACCTATATTATTCTACCATGGTATATACTATAAAGGGTTTCCTTTCAGACAACCAATTTTGGGAAGCACCTTAAAGTATGTCATAAAATTGCCTAATATAAATGTGGGAAAATTGTTATTCGCGAAAGAACATTGAATTTTATTTTACCAGTTAAAAACTCAGAATCAATGTGACCGCGCCAAAGTTAGATGATAATAATACATGTAAGCATTCATCGCATGTTCTCCAGAGTAGAAATATCTTTTTATTGTACCATAATTGAAGGCAACTTTATCCTTGACTCTCGCACTTCAATTAAAAGCAACATTAATGAAAACTTACAATAATGGACATTTGTACAATGTGGCTTCAATTTATGTGTAAATTAATCCAGTTTAAATAATCTTTGACACGTGTATAAAATGAGGGTACATTTGGTGTTGCACAGCCACTTACACCCGTAGAGGTGATACCCACTATAATATGCATGCATGGATATTGTGGATGTTGAATTAGAAGCGGGCCTCCAGAATCACCTTGGCAAGTGTCTTTCATTTCTTTTGATCCAGCACAAAGTAGAGAATTGCGTATCCCTAAAGGCAGAGATTCCAAACCTTCAGATTGTTGAAGTAAACTGGCACATTTCTCATGTGAATATGGTTGCAATTCCACCTTTTTCAAATGCGATGATGGCTCCCCGGCGAATTGGACATGTCCCCAGCCAATGGCTATAAATGATGTTTGACGTTCTTCGATTAAATTCAATGGTGGCAGGCATGCCGGATGTTTATATCTGCTAAATTTTATGTTAGATGTCAGCAGAATTAAGGCAATATCGTTGTATGGTTGGTTCAATCGATATTCCGGATGTTCAATAATGCGCAAAATATAATAATCTTCGGGTTGGGCATCATCGGTGTCTGAATTGAAATCTAATTCACCCAAGCGCACGAGGTTCACTTTGCCGCTGAAAAATAAATAAAATTGGAATAATTAGATAATCGAAATCGTATATATATTTTTTTCTAAGTAAGCTTTCACTAATTTTTCGAAGAATACAATAAATCAAATTATATTCAAAACTTACAGTGGCGAGTGAAAACAATGAGCCGCAGTCAAAACATAATTATGGCTAATGATTGTTCCACCACAAAGCCAATTGATATTCGTTAATGACTCGGCACTTCCCAAACGAGCTGCAAAGGGGAATTCCTTAGGTTGCGCGTTTTCACCGCCCACAATAAATCCCGTAGCTGTTTTACAATGATCCTCTATGAATGGCACGCCTCGGGCATCGGGATGAAAGTAACTTAGCGTTTTCTCCTCTTCATACAACAGCTTTTTATATGCCAAACAACCTTTATGAATGAACAAGAAAAATTGAAACTCTTTTTTTTTGTAAATTTTCCCACTTGAATTACTAACGTTTCTCGTTTTGGTCTTGTCCAACTGCAAGACTTAAGAATAATGACAACAAAACACCAAGCAATTTCAACACGTCTCCAACTTGTTTTAAAAGAGTTTGCATTATTCTATCTTTTGTATATACAAACAAATAGTTAATTTTGCATTCGGTGAATTGTTTATACTTCTTCGGCCACTGCTGATTCTACAATGATTTCAATATTTGAATCTATTCTGAATTCAAGTTCTAAACATTGTCTGTGTCCATATGGTTAATTAGCAAGAATTCGACGAATTATGACGTCTTCGTTTATTTAATCGAACTGTATTTTTATAATAGGGTGGTTCAAAATTAAAATATTTTTTCAAATAAATAAAATAACAGTACGTTTATATATATGAGGGTTAACCCACTGGATTTGGATTTAAATTGTCATATCCATTACTTTTACTTCAAATAAATCCTCTCAAAGAGTTCTAACGTAAACATGGCATAACATTATAATCTAAAAAGTTCATGTTCTAACTAACTACAGACTATGAAAATCATATTCGATCTAAGAAAATGTAAACTCCTCTTCGAACTTTTTCGAAATTACTTTGAAATCATTTCATTTAACACAACATCTTTATTTGTCGTACAAATTAAATAGCATCATTGTCTTTGCTAGTGCAGTCAATATTACACATACGTTTGCACGTAAAAACCCGGGGTAAACTAAATACCAAAATATTGACAAAACACATCGGTTTTTTGTATAAGCGAGCCACACCAATTCACAAACTATTTGATAATAACAGGTTTGAAATAATATTCAGCAGAATTTATATTACTATACTCCAAATCAGGTTCTCTAATTGTTTATGAGTTTAGCTCAAGATCATGGTTATGGTACAATCAAAAGCGGGAATAAACACCATTTTTTGCCCTATTCTGTCAAAATAATGAAAATAATTTGAAATTATTGTAATCAATTATTATTATTATTGTATGTTACAAAATTTAAAATTTATGGGAATACATTTCACAATTTTGTTGTAAAACAAATTTGACACTTCTACTCTGGACACAATTTTGCGAAATTGAGCGCTATTGCCTGGCTTAAGTCACCGGCTGGCTTCTTCGTAGAGAAACAAAGCAAAGACATAGAAGTGTAAAGATAGGACAAGACAGAGTCAAAACATGGCAACCCTGTGAAAATACCTCTGTTGTTACGATATCATAACTACATAGTCACCAATGTTAACTGATTTAAACCGCTAAAGCAATATGCAAATTTTTGGAAAGGTCTATGGAATAAAATTTCGAAACCAAAATTTTGGATTTTTCAAATTTTTATTGGTTATTTGTTTCTGTAACTGTGGTTTTTATATTAACATGGCTCTGTCATGAGCTGTTACTCTATGTATTGTAGACACAAACCATTTGCTCAAAATGCGTTTTGTCTAGTCTTTACCATTTTAGGTCTTTGAACAAAGGAGTTTTAGGTTGGCTTAGTTCGATTTTGGTCCTAGGTACCTTTGTTCATTTCCGAAGAAGCCAGCCAAATAAGCGCTTTAGGTATTCCCACCTTAACATCAACATTCCTTTTATGTTTTGTCTTAAATAAACAAAATCAATTGTTGCATACTTTTAAGGTCGGTTTGACACTATAAGACTCTAGTACAGAGATACATTTTCTTACTTCCCCCGAAGTTAAACTACCTTATGGGTTATGCCATAACAATAAGATATTCTTAATACTTAAGATGAAAATACATAAAACGATTTTCTGACTGGCTTAAGTCATATGCTGGCTTCTTTGGAAGAGAACAAAGGAGCCTAGGGCCGAAATCGAACTAAGTCAACCTAAAACTCTTTTGTTCCTCTACGATGACTTACGCCAGTAAAAAAAACCTTTAATGTACTCTCCCCAATATTCTCTTCTTTTGTTCATTTACGAAGAAGCCAGCCAGATAAGCGTTTATGTATTTCCAGCTTTAGGGTGGGAATACATAAAGCCCATATTTGGCTGGCTTTAGTCATCGGCTGGCTTCGGGGGCTTGAGATTTTCTGGACCCCGAAAATATAATAATAATATGCCAATAATTTGGCATCAATTTGGTTGGCACCAATAATGGCCCCCTTTCGATTTTTTGGGGGTTTTATATAAAAAACCTGGTCCGGGTTTTGACTATAACTTCCGAACCGGTTATAAATTACCCCCTCATGTTACCACTTTTGGGTATTTTCATAAGCTTTCCAACGACACCTATATTGTCTATATCGGGCAAGTGGATCCGCGTCTAGCAGGGGTCTTGAACCCGGATTTTCCCGCCCCCCAAGTAAAAAATAGTTTCTTGGAATCAAGGTAAAAATACCTACCTCCGGAAAAAATCGAAGAGTTTTTACTGAACTAGTGTTAAGCCTTTTGATCCATCTGTATATATCGGCAGACTGATTAAAGGTTGGTTAGCTCCTTGTCATGATGCCCAGTTGCTTATGTATACACAGCTCAGTTCGCTGGCTGGAAATACCTGGATTTTCTTCCAAAAATATAATCCAAACTGTCCAATCTTTCATTTTCATGGCAGTTATTCTAGCTGCATTTATTGATTTTGAAAATATTTTGTTTTTAGTATTCAAAACAGTAAATACATACACGAAATTTGCAAAAGTCCCGCACACTAAGAAAAAGTTGTGATCAGCTTTTTTTGTACCAGGGTTCCATGGTGCAATAAAAAGGTAAGGTAGAGCTAACAGCTGATTACAATATATTTCTAAGTGTGCCCGACTTCTGCCAATTTTGTGTATGTATTAATTGTTTTGAAAAATGAAAAAAAAAATCAAAACCAATGATTGGAAGACACATGAATTGCGGCTCGCGCATTAAAGCTTTAAACCAGTATAGCCATGAAATTGAAAGATTGAACAGTTAAGCTGGGAATACATAAAGCGCTTATTTGGCTGGCTTAAGTCATCGGCTGGCTTCTTCGGAAATGAACAAAGGAGCCTAGGGCCAAAATCGAACTAGGTCAACCTAAAACCTCTTTGTTCATCTACGAAGAAGCCAGCCGATGACTTAAGCCAGCCAAATATGCGCTTTATGTATTTCCAGCCTTAGGATCATATTTTTGAGAGAAAAATATAGACATTTTATTCAATATTCGCGCTATTTAATTTATTTTAAAAATGAGTAAAAATATGAAAAAAAAAAAAAGAAAACAATAATTTTGAATGAGGAAGCGGGCATAGCCTCAGGGCTGTATTTTTGTAGTTTTACGAAGCTGTTCTGCCTCCTTATTGTACCATGCAGGGTTCCATGAATTATATTTTTCGAAATAGTTTTATCGTGAGCATATTCTTATTTTGTTCTATAACTCATTTGGAAATAAATTCCCCAATTGAATCAGGTTCTTATTGGTTTTTTACCCACCTTAGAGTAACGAAAATAACACATGCAATCTCATTTTCTTTTTTAAATTACTTGAAAATGAAATTCCTCCATCAGCTAATCACTAAAAAATGATATCCCCTTTGTCGTCGTTGCAGCGGGAATGAAAACGACGGCGTTCGATTTACTGCTTACAAAAAAAATCGACTTTTACTTTAATCGATTATTCGAGTGTCGACTTATGCATCCCTAATTCTAATTAGATAGAAAAGAAAAATTGCAAGAAATATTCCTCAGTTTTCCAACTGTGTTTTTCTTTTTCGAGTGTGTGTGTGTAAAAGAAAATTTTTCGGATGAAATTTTCCTCGCTAGAAGAAAAGTTACTTCAATATATAATAAAAAATATATAACCAATATAAGAAAATAGAACAAAAAAAGAATAACAATAAATCGACAAAATAGCAGCCAATTAAAAACAAAACAAACATAATTCTAATGCGAAATTTAAAACAACCAAATAACAAAGAATTCAAAGTGAGCAATTTGTGTATTATGAAGTGGAAAAATATATAGAAGAAGAATATTAAATATTGGCATTGAAACGAAGAAGAAAAAAATTCTGTAGTAGTGAAAAAAGAAGAAGAGGAAGAAGAGTAGAGAGAAAAGCAGTGTTGCCAAAAGCCATCTTTTTCCAAAAGATCAACGAAGATGAATAAGAGATTTTGGTTTGTTGTTGGCTCAAGGAATCGTCCATCGGAAAAGCAACAGTAGCTGTTAACAAATTGTGGACTATAATGGATGTTAATCAATTGTTCTTGATATTTTAAGCATGCCTGGTGAAATGTCCTTCATATCGACTTCTTGGAATGTGTTATTTAATTAACTTTATGGGTTTTAAGTAATCATTCTAAATTGGGTTACGTTACAAGGACATTAGTGAAAAGCATAGAGATGACCTTGCAAAAAATAGTAACTTCAATTTATTTTGTTGTTTTTTTACTTTTGGTTGCTAACATGCCTTCATAAACAAATGTGGCATTGAGTGAAAACAACAATGCAGCAACTTGTAGTTCGTCTCCCCCTCGAATGGATGCTGCTGTTCTAAGGAATCTCTCAAAAGCAATGACAGATGGCAACTCTAAGCAATAGTGACCAAAAAAGTTTTTCATCGAATCGATTTTGAGAAAAAATGTTGCTCAATGTTTTTGCTTTTGCTTTTCTTGGCCTCGACAAAAGATACTTTTTTTTGGTGAAAAAGAGACTTTATGAATGAATCCAGACTAAATGAGTGAAGCTATGCCAGTTCCTTGGGATTTTTTAATATCGCAATAGATAGCCTTAGTTTTTCTTTGTTAATTTTCTTCAAAGCTACGATACACACATACAATTTTCCTCCAAAATCCCCCTTCATTAGAGGAGGGTCATAAGACACCACAGACAGACAGACAAACAGTGGTGATGTGATTTGTAGATGATTGTGTTCTCTGGTGGCCGCACCAAATAGTAGGATGCTCTTGAAATGTAAATTCATGTATATTTTTAATCTTAAAAATTGTTTATTTTTTAGCTACCTATTTTCCTTAGCGTTATCAGTTGAAAAATAATATTTGGATAAAAAAATTACATACGTAGGTATAACGTGAAGAGATAAGCAACGAGTTTCTTTTTGCAAATAACGTTTCCAGAGTTGAGCAAGCGAAAATTAATTATGGTTTGACCTGTGAATTTCAAATTATATTCCTATAAGTAGGTACATATGTACGTGCGTACCTTTGCGAACTGGGAGTAAGAAAAATAATGTTTCGTTTTCAATCATCTGCTTAACGTCAGTTCCGATTTTATTAGGGTGAATTAACTTTTTTTGTTTACATCAAAATATCCAATTAGATTCGTCTACCTTATGAAATTTAATTATATCCATTTGATTTGCATTTAGAACCTCATGCTTCTCCTCAATTGAGGGAAGGGAAGATCGAACAAGGAATATGATCAAGCTTTACACACTGAAGTAAGATTCGACTTTCCTGAAAGCCGATGATTGGATAAGGAAGGGAACAGTATCCACATCTCTCGGAAAACTCTTGACTATTGAGTTAGGTTAAATATTCAGTTCACTCGAAAACCTAATGATATTAAGATGATAAATATTAACGTTATATTTGGTAGAAAATGTCATAATTCATGTTATATTGATTTTGTTGTAACCGCTTCAATAGGAAGTTTAGGAAGTCTGATGCCCTAATGAGCTAGCAATATAATTTTTGGAGTGAGATGAATTCGTTTTGCAGGGCAGTTAAAATGATTCAGCGTATTGTGCGGGCCTGTATCGCACACTGGACAGACGTTCCGCACATCTTCTTCAATTTGCGTTCAATACGAATTGAGACGGTTGCACCATCCTGAACCTAATCGAGCCAAAACTACCCTGGTTTGCCTATGAAACCAACGTTCTTCAGCTGCAATGGATAGGGGTTGACTCCGAGGATGTCATTCATACTGTAATGTTTAACTATATCGGCGACTACATCAGCATGAATGCTATTCAGACCTGCTTAATAGGCTTCATAATCTATAGGATCTCTCTGATATCGTTAGAACTCTCTCTAGATGATGCAGATTCTTCCTGACACGCACGGGTAAGGAAGGTCTGTCCACCACGTAATGGTTAGGATGATTCAAACGGTAACACAAAGCAGTAAGGGAAGAAACTTTGTCCCCTCATGTAAATGGTCCACTGGAGTCACGAGGAGGAACACTGTCGCCGTTCACAGCGCGGCATTCTGACAGGTATAAACAATTTTCCATTGCGTTGCACTTATATTCGCAGACCACACTGAAGCCGCATAACTAACCACACAGACGGACCTATTGTTTTATAACATGGTTTCCTTATCAGCGCCCCAAGTGCTACCGGTTAGCCCCTTGAGGAATTCGTTCCTACTTTTCAATTTATCGCAGATCATTGTGGCTTGCGCGGAACCCTTGAAAATGCTGTCGAATTTGACTCCAAGGATTTTGGGCTGTTTAGTGGTGGGAATTATGTGCCCCTCGACCTGCACATTCGGCTTTGTTGTTGCATAGGTTAGGTTCTCAATGCGGTCTGGAGGTCGCAGAAATCCGGAAACCTAGGGGTTAAGCAGTTTCGGAGCTATGTTCTAACCTTGAGGAATACCTTGTTTCACTCTACGAGGCTTAGACTTCTTCGGATTCATCGGATATGTGATGAAAGTCATTACGTCCCGTTTTGGTAAAATTGCTTTGTTACCTATCTCAAACTTGCCTATTTCTTTTTTTTAAATTGTGTGTTTGAATTTTGACAACATAATGTCATAAGAGTATTCGGCTTTGTTACCAAAAACCACTTAAATGTATCCAAGTCCACAGATCGAGTCGAATTGTGGGATTGTTGGAATGTAGCCTGACGCAGTATCGGTTGGCGGTGGGTGTCATTTTTCAGCCATAAAGAGCTCACGTGTTTATGATCACATTTACCGTGATGTTGCACCAGACCAGTAGAAGGTTAAGACTAAGAAGGTTAGTCTTATCGAGAGCTAACATCAGCGTTTAATGAGAGTATTTACAAAATATAATATTTGGATTCGAAGTCGAATATCCAAGAATATTGCGGTTTACAGATGTACCTTCTTAATAATAAAATAATAAGACATACGCAGAACACAGGGCAAGGGATTACATGACACGCTGCACCTCTTCCACTGCCCATCCAAAACTAATCGTGCGGGTGTGCATCAAACCAATGCAGCACAACTCCTTTTTGAATTTGGAGTTAGAAGCAGAGCCAGATTAGAGACGAAATTAGAACAAAAACAGCAGTACGAGTTGCTACAACAACAAAAACGGACACACTATTCAGCGGAGTGCCTTGATTCCGGCTATCAATCACCTTGAAGTCTTGCGGTTCACATTCGATAGCTTTTCGAGTCCGAAGTGGGAACATGGTTCTCAAGTCTCTTGTCGGCAGCAATTAGGGAGCTAACAAGAAATCCTTTGCCGACTGTTGAGGGCTACTCGATCTTTGTTTAGTCTACCAAAGATAGTGGCACGCATTGAAAAATTTTTCAATTCTGCAAGAATGCTGCATTTGGAACCGCAAATGGGTTCTCCAGGTTGTTCTTCTATATGAGGAGACGAAGTGGATACACATTGTGCTGTTATTTGTTAGAAGAACAAATAACAGCACAATGTGTATCCACACTCTTTTCGCATGTTCTCTGATCAAAATTCTTCATTTGCAAGTTCCCTTGTCTCTGTTGGTAACTTTTATCTTAATTGTTTATTTGATCGTCAAATTCTTAAAGAATCCTTTTCAACATAAGATATTCTCTTCCGCCCCTCCCTATATTCGATATTCTGATGATTTAAGCAACACTTGCTTGTGGAATTGTCTAAAATTCGTCGTTTAGATATTGTAATTGGAACTAACTTCTGTGGCAGAAAATGGTCGACTTTGGTCTTGGTTTATATATACCGTTGTTTTGTTGATTTTGGCTACATTTTTCAACGAAAATGTTTCAAATTTGGATTTGACACAATATATACCAACCTCTGTAGCAGACAACAGTCTACATAGGCTCTCGTTGTACTTGAGCACCCATATAACGATATTTGTTATTCTGATGATATTGGCCACGCTTTCTTCGGATTTGTCAAAAATGCGTTATTTAACCTCATAATGGGATCGTCTCGCTATGGTTGAGTATTGTTTAAATTGGTCTACTTTATCCTAAAACCTCCCATATAACGGTATCTCAAATTCGCAATAGATAACAACGGCTGTAGCAGATAATTTTCCATGTGGGCTTCTGGCCTTTTATTTATTATTTCCTACAAGCAAGAAATATCCCACTTCAGCGATAGTTTTAAGCATGACTAAATAGCGTATACATCGTTGCTTCTAATAATCGTGGACGTTACTTCTTCGACAGCTATTGGAAGTGAAAAAAAACTTTGTTTTTTTATTTTTTACTCCAGACTTAAGCAATTTTTTATTGTTATTCAAACTTTTCCAATGTACGCTTACTTGGATTATACTAATTAGCTAAAATACACAATTTTTTTCTTCGTTTTAAAAAGGTAATGTCTGGCTTTGGATTTTTTAACTCATGTTGGAGGGTATTAACATTTGACTTTTTTCTTTAAAACAGTTTAACCCCCACAAAAAAGGTTAACACTGGACTATAAGTTAGCATGTACCCAGTGAGCCGCTACCAGTTTACCTTCCGAAGAGGGAATTAAAGCTACTCTATCGGTGACTTTTGTTTTAGCTTGTGTTTTTTATTGTACAGTTCTATATGCAATTTCTAAAAGTTTTATGTAATTCTGTTATGTTTAAAAGAATAGCTATAGCATGGACCATAGAACTTCTTCTTGCGCTGATACTCTTAAAGTGGCCATTCGGCTTGCATCCATTTTACCCCCTCTTTGTCTTTTGACCTCTAATAGAAGATCATAGTTTTATTTTTAATTGCATTGAAATAACAATAGCTCAACTCACAGCATCATTCGGATTTGTC